ATATATAGCACTAAGAAAAAGTTTTCCAGTAGAACAGGATAGAGCAGAACCGGGTACGAACATCACCGTATCAACATGCGGGTTACGCATGGTTCTCGTTCGGAGAAGCGCAGTGAATCTCATAAACGCAGTTCTCTGCTTACTCAGCGCTAACTCCATAATCCAACGCAATGAAAGTAATAATTTTAAAATCATTCAAACCGTATGTCATAACATTTTTCAATTAATTTTGTTTTTAATTGGTCCGTGTAAACGCGCGCCATTTTTTTAAACGTTTGATTCGCTATTTATTAAGTAAATTTTTTTTTGATATTGTTTAATTTATTACGTTTTTACAAAGCGCTTTTTCTGTCAGCATCGCGCTGCTTTGTGCGCAAAAAACACATGCTTCAAAGTGAGCGTTAGGTTTGCGACCATAAGCGTTACCACTGCATAGAACGCCGCTGTCATTTGTTTGGATGGATTGTTTAGTTCATTGGAGTTTTTGATAAGTTCTTTCACAGTATTAGATCTTTTTTGAAAACTTGTTCCGCGTAACTAATGATTTGGCCTATGCGCTCAACTTGGCCATATATCTTGGATAGCTTTACTATACTTAACCATTTATGTTATTCGTTCTAGATTGCTGAAATTTTCGCTACGGATTCCACGTTCGCCTGCGATTTATGATGCCTCTGAAAAATTCTACTGGACATCTGTTGTAAATAAACTGTGCAAATTTAAACCCACTTTTTGCAACCTTCATTGTTGCCTCTGTAGTACATCTGAATATAATGGTAAAGGTGAAATTTCTTTGTTGATAAACTAGCTTATGCGTCATATCACCCTATAGGCACACAAAGGGTCCTTTAAATTCCTACCTTCTCTAAACCGCGGGGTTTTCTTCCGTTACTGACCCATACACTGCGATAATATTTATGAAGTCAGCTTAAATCCTAATAAGAACAGTCACTATCAACTCTACGCTAAAGTTATCTGAATTGAAAGGGATTTTCACTTTTAGCTAGTTTTAATTTCAAGTTACTCTCGAGTAACTCACACACAGTCAAAATTGATTTCTAAGTAAGCTCAAGATGAAGTCATATCGATTAGATTCCACGTTTAGAGCTTCTGACAAAAATATATAAACATCCAATAAAGAAAATAACAGGAAATCGAAACTCGACAACGCAGTTCTTCTTAAGAATAAAAAAAAAAAAAACTATTAGAATCTTTTATATATCCTTAATACTACCTTTATTTATAAAGGTAGTATTTACACACTATTTAATAGCGGAGAAATCTGCGTTTTTACAGGTTAGACGACAAATTTATATCACCATTTCGAGCACATAGCACCAAAGCTTGAACGTTATTTAAGTTTTTCAAACACCTTAAATGATATCACAGGTGACCTCGTTTATATTTTTGATGACAGTGTAAATATGTCCAGTGACCACGTTACGTATTTTAATTAACGTTACGAATAGAAAATGTAAAAAGTTCATGGAAAATGATCGCTTAGTTAGTAGAAGTTGACAGAACTATAATACTTTTATGTAACTGCATTATTCTGCTAACTTTACTGTCAAGCGAGGGTATCTGTCGTCGTCTACTAGAGATTACATAGTTAATATCACCTGCTTGACTATTCATAATACTAAAATAGTAGTTTGTTTCATGATTCTGCAAGCGAAGTATACAGATCTTGTAAATGACGAAGCTTAATCTAACCTGGGGCCTACTGGTATTCCTGTTTTACGCCGTTTTCGGCTTTGAAGCAAAAGCCAATCATGAAAAGCTGATTGTTCGTAAGTACCACGGACTCGCTAGAAGTTTACCGCTGTAGACTTTGAATCAATGACAGGTTCCGATATACACAAGACGAAACAAAACGTTAACAACTTAGTGGAAGTTAAAATTCCATGCCAATGATACGGGCTCCTAGAAACATAGTTACGCCACCTGGAAGTGATTCAGATTGCGTTGGGTAGTGTCTTGAACAAACTGATGTTAGAAAACCCCTACGTCCTGAAAGATATGTAGATGTTGTGAACGAATATTAGTGTTTACAGACAACTCTGTTTAGAACTAGGTTTCCTGATGGACTGACGACGGTGTTGAGTTTTTATCCAGGCCGGATTCGAAATGGTGGTACTCCTCGACTCTCTTCGGTGCTTCCTAGCTCCTTGAGGCTGAAGAGCCTGGCGCACTATAGCCGGTACGAATGCCGACATCAAAGAAGCGCAAAAAGACACAGACGTTTGTTTGTCCTGACTGTTAAACTGTGCTGTTCAATTCGAGGCCTATCTGCTGAAATTAGTCCTAGTACATAAAACTATTATATACTATTTCGGGTCATTTAAAACGACCTAGAATCCAAGCTGCACCGACTCACAGCCAAAATGCTGTATCTAGAATTTGTAATTTTAAGGACCTTATAAACTCGGCCTTGCCCATTTAGTCATACCCTAATGGCGACATACCTCAACAGCCATGAACACATTGTGGGAACCCAAATCATTACCTGCAATGGAAAAACGAAAGGGTTGTCCTGAAGAATGTATTGCATATGTATAGAGTTTGGAAGTAATTCTGTGTTTCCAGTCCGAACGATCGCTGCTTACATGTTACTCCCTCAAAAAGACGAAGTTTCCGTTTAAAATCTGTCGAATTTTCGAATATGAGCTAAATCCGTCGTCGTTGTACTATGCCTATTAAGCCGTAGAGACGCCTTTATTAGAATAATACAAGGTATGAGTGCTTTGAGTAGTACTGTTCCATACTGAACCACATTTCCATCTGATGATAAGTGAGATCGATAATGGAGATATTTAGTTATGAAGCTATAGTGTGTTCTTTTATGGAAACTCATTGATTTCGCTGAGCATTACTCGGAAATTAGGAAAACGCCGAGTTAATTTATAGTGCTTGATGAAGTGTTAGCATTCGACGAAGTGTTATCTGTGCATGTACCTGTAATAGTATAATAATATAAAAAAAGTATATAAGTGTAGAAGGTTGTATCGAAAAACGCACCCCAGTGCATGCATGAAGTACATACGCAATCCATATAGAATGTTTAATAGTGACCGATTCCTATTTTCACAGGTCATAGGCCCGGTAAAAATGATATTAACGACGAGTCATTTAGTGAGTATACAACGCATTTTTCCTTTAAAAAAAATAGAGCAAATTTTCGACATGCCACGTGGCTCTATAGGCTTAAATCAATATCAAACCTAATCATTTACTAATCATATTTAACCAAGAAGCCTAGATCTTAGGTCTTTTGGTACCAGGTAAATCCAATGGCATAGTACTGTTGACTTAAGTTACGTGTCCTAGAGAACTCATCCTAAATTAGTCAATGACAAATAAAATAGCTACACTTATTTTCGTTATGTGTAGCACTGCAGCAATGTATGCTACAGATTGGATTTAGGGCAAAACGCCCCTAAGCACCGACTGATCCAGGATGTGTTTATCTTTCTCGAAAGGAATTTAGTAAGCAATTTACTGTACTTAGTATTCGGGCCTGTACGATAAATTGATGCAGACTAGATTTTGCCCAGGTAAAGACCTGGGAATATAACAGACCGGCTATTACTCTCTTAATTTTTAATATTTTTCTTAATAGTTGTAAGCGAAAACGGATTTCATATTTCTTGAGAAATCGAACGTAATCCCCACGATTTTGGATAAATCTTGAAAAAAGTAATGGCTATAACGTAAAGGGCATGTTACACATCTTGTTTAATGATAAGTAGGGTTTTCTAAGAAAAGTGCGACCACCTTTTGCGTTCGATTCTTTTTTACCGTATCCGTAAGTAGAAGCTTCTAACTGAGGCGATCTTATCTTCGCTGTCATCTTTTTAATAACGGTGCTTTGTTATTTTGAAAGGAAAATTTGTCACGGTTCCGGCGCCTAAGTTCACGGAATGTCTGTCACATCCGCATAAGGAAGATGCGTTTATGGTATGCCAAAACGAAGAGGGAAAGCTCAGCATTATTATACCACTTGTGAAAGACAAGGTTGGTTACTCTTCTTAATAGCATTTAAGCTGCAAGAAAAATTAAAGAGACGACTAGGTATTTCTGCTAGTCATCTTTTGGATCGTACGTATTAATTTAAATAATTTTCATTTGTTTAAGCTAAAAAATCCGGTGAAAGTTACACGGCACATAAAATCTACAGCGAAAACGTCGATAGCGCCGCGAGCCGGTAATGGAACGCAAATTAGAGAATTGGACCTGCCGTATATCCAGGTGAATACTACTCAGTGCTAAAGATTGGCCTTCGTTTTATGAATGCGTTTGTCAGATGATATATACAAATAGCGTAGCTGAGACAGTTTAATTCTAAAAATTATAGTTCTGTGGTTTCCGAGTCATTCAGTATAGGCCTTCATGTCATTTGTCCAAATGACTCCACTAACAAAGCTATCGGAAGCCTCTATTGTAAACTATTTTGTGTTTGGCATTTCAATTTGTGCATAGTTCCTTAGTAGATATGTTTACTGCTCTGAAAACCATATATTATCAAGGTCTTCCAAACAATACATTTTTAAAAATCCTAAACACACCTTGGAGCAGTCGGAGCATCAATAGCACTAAGTGTGAATCGTTCGATGAAGAGACGTCGCACCTGTCATAAACACAGAGTTCCATAGTTCCAGAGAGGTTTACATGGAGGTTCGTATTATCAGGAGCGTTTAGTATGTTCGTGTTGTATTGTCTATACATTCCACAGCAGCATATGAGAGTAAAGGAAGGTTAGTTGACAGTAATTATTACGTTGAGGATGGCGCCAAGCTTTCGAAATCCGACACATCCAAGTCTGGCAGCTCTAAGAACTACTGTGCCAAACTCGATAGGATTCAAATCTCGACCAAAAGACGTAAACTATTTAAGATAGCTGATATTGTTTGATATTTGTAGATTGTGGAATAGCTGACCGCGTGTAGGGCATAGTCTTTTTTCTTGAACTTTATGAAATGAATGAAGTCATAATTTTGGGTAGAAATATACGACCATCAAAAGTGCTTCATTTGAAAGTCATACATAATTTTGGGTAGAAATATACGACCATCAAAAGTGCTTCATTTGAAAGTTATACATAATTTTGGGTAGAAATATACGACCATCAAACTGCTCAAAGTCATAAAATAATTTGGTAAAACAAATTTCTCCTGTAGACATTTTCACAAGCTACAGCCACAAATTGGCTGTGTATCAGACGACATTTTAGGTACTCCCTGGAAGCGCTAATGATCCGGACTTTAGTGCGTGCCATAGAACTGATCTTTTGTAAATTCATAAACCCAAAATTTTACCAATACGGAGCCCTTGTCCAGGCTAGCAATGAATCATTGAGTGAATGCATTAGTACCCCGTTAGAAATTCTACTCGCACGTGATCTGTGCTCATTAAAGTAAAATGTAAAAATACATAAAAATGAAGCAGGAAGGAAACGCTGATGGCGAAGAAACGACATTGGATGAATATGCTACTTTGGATCCTTGGACTTTAGAACCTGATTCGAAACCTCTAAGAACAATGAATGTATCGACCAAAGAGTTCTTGCCAAAGGTAGGTGCCGGACTGCTATATTGTCAGGGTAGCT